CCTATACCTACAAACCTAGAATTTGTTTTTAATTTTATTTAATTTTTTTGGGGATTTTAAAGAAAATTTCGACCAAAATATAGTAAAAGAAACGTTTCAAAAATGTAGTTATAAAAGACAAAACCAGCGATACTGAAACCACATTGGGGAAAAGCACGATCGAATCGCTTTTTAATTTTTTATAAAAAAATTAAATAAAATTTATTTCTTTTTAACTCTTTAATCCAGCATTTCTAGTTCATGTTGAGGTATTCAAAAATGAAAAATTACAGAAAATTTCAGAAGGTAACAATAGACGCTAGTTACGTTAAATTTTAAATAAAAGGGTAAAAAGAATTATGTATATTTGATAAGAACATCTAAAAAATAGAGTTGGATTTAAAGAGTTCAAAACTTTTTAAAGTTTTTTTAGCAAAGACGATAAGGTAATAAGTATAGATAAGAATTTGGAAAACATATTTCAGGAAAACACTCAAATATAAGAAAAAATCCATGATATAATAGAATGTGTATAAGATTTTGACAATTTTTTCAAAGTTTAAGACAATTTTTTCAAAGTATACATTCCATTGCGTTTGTCTCCCGCTTTCTTTTTAAAAACAATTACTACCAAGCATAAAAATATTTTCAAATAGTGCATATTAATCTTGGTATTTTCTTTTCTTACACATCTTGATTTAAATTTCGTTTAGAAGAATTACAAAAATTTTTGTTGTAGTATGTGAAAACTTGTAGTTTTTACAGTTTTAACTAGAAAATTTCAAATGTGCGAATACGAAACGACCAATTGAAAAATGAAATCTTTACTTAGACAACTGAGATGTTTAAACTAACTGCATTTGATACTATGCTCATAATAATATTGTTTTTAATATTATTACAAAATTTTACAATTAAAATTTGTTTTAATATTTAAAAACAGACAAAGCAGTTTAAAAAATTATCAAGTATTTTGTTAAAAATTACGTTATGAAAAATCAATATATTTGTCATAACTACAGGAAATTCCTTTATTATATATGGTATACAATTGTAACTGTAACTATAAAGTTTAATCTATAACACAACTGCAATATAATAAAAATTCTTTCTACTTCATTAAACATTACGAACGCAATGGCTTATTTATTCATAATATAAAAAAAGAGTATAAATACAAGTATTTAGGTATATGCGGTTGTACATATAAAAAGTAAAACCAAAATTTACAAAAACAAAAACTATGTAGGGGAACAAACAAAAATAATACCAACATTATTAAAAAGGATCAAAGAATTGAGATATAATACAAAACTTGTTGAGAATATTTAAGAAGAACTTTTCTACTTAAAAGATATTATCTATATGAATCTGGAGGTTTAGAAATATTCTTATTTCTACATATACGTAATTATATATGTGTACTAAATATACATATTTATCGGTTTATCCATAAATTTATATAATTTAAATGTACAATATTGAATACATTACAAGCATATAAGCGTGTACATATTAAAATGTTAAAGCAAATGTAAATAGAATTTGAAATAAGAATAAAAAAAAAAGAAAATTTTGTAAAATTTTATCTGGATAAACATTTTTTTCTTAATTTTATTTACTTGTGTTTTTTTTTCTCCTTTTCTTATTTTTAAATTTCTTTCTTAACTTTTGATTCATCTCTATATTTTATTTTATAAATTAGAGTTTCCAGTCATTCACAGAAAAATATAGACCAATTGACTATATATAAAGAATTCTCAAAAGTAAATAAAAAATTCTATGCACACATACAAATGAGAAATGTACAAAATTGTATATGTATAAGAGAAATAATCATAGTAAATATATGTACATTAAGCTTCATTTTATAATAAGTATATTATTTAGATGAAATCTAGAAAAATAAATTTAGAAATTAGAGTCTTATAGGAAATCCACCTCCGCTTTTTGTCCTTAAGTATTAAATTTGTTCATAATGAAAATTTATTTTTTTCAAAAGACTGGATTTTTTTTTTAAATTTTTATGCCATTTATTATAAAAATTATTTTTGTTAAAATGTAACATCGAAATATTTGAATTTTACAAATTTTTATTATAAGGATATGAATAGGTAAATGGGGAATTAGTACAGCTTATGTCATGCACTGAGTAATGCTCTAAAATTTTCTCTTTAATAATCATTTTAAAATTCAATTTAGTTATCTCTTGATAAAATTTACTTTTTAAAAGTAAAATTTTACATATCGTAAAACGAGATACATATTATTATTTCAAATTGAATTAATTAATATTTTGGAAAGAAATTTTTCAATAACAAATTAAATGTACAATATGAAAGAAAAACGAAATTTTGTCATTAACCCTGACTTAATTTAAGAATAAAATCAAACATTTTAGTATTAGAAAGTTGATAAGATTAACTACACAATTTAAATAATTTCTTCGAATGTAAATTCATGTATTTCCATTTTAATACAACACTATTTTTCAACTCAGGACTAAAATATTTCTTTTGATCTTGTTAAATTCAGAAAGAATTAAAGAAAGGCAAAATTTGAAGTGCGAGTTGTAAAGATTTTAATAGTTTAAACAGTACAAAACCGTATTGAATTGGTAGAAACATTTGCCATAATTCGAAATATTATGTTCTTAAATCACATATGCGAGTTAAATTTTCAAATACTCATAAATTAAGTCTGTTGTTCAAATTTTTCTAATATCAGCATATTAATATGTATTTTGCACTTTATTATGTGCTTGACAATGTGATTTAATTCAATACAGTGTCGTATAAATAAACACAAAGATTTTTAATTTTCAAAAAATTTTCTCGAAAAGGAAAATTTGTTGCATTGGAAGAAAGCTTTTAATTAATTATCAGATATTATTAAAGAAATTATCAGAATTTTATTGAATAAGAGACGTTTTTGTATGAAATATACTTGTAATTTTATCGCAGAACAATAGCCATCTAAAAATTTGATCTTTTGCAACATTTTTTTCTTTTAAGCATAGAGTTACATTATATGTATAAAATTTTAGAACCCTTACATTTTCACATTGTTAAAATAATTAATTTTTATTTAGAAAATTTTTAACAATTTGATGAAAAAATTGTCATCACATTTTCACACCATTCTGCTATTATCATATTAATAAATATAGGAATATTATGTGCTACAAAAAAAATAAAATCCATCAATTGAAAGTCAGCATCAAAATCCGATTATAATAAATTAAGTCTTTCCAAAAATGAAAATGAAAAGCAAAATGAAAATACATGAAAAGTATTTTTCTTTTCACATTTTCATCAATAATTATTACGTATGACTGATATTCTCTTCACTTTTATAAATATTGAAAAATGAAATTATTATGTGCAATAAACTGACATATCTACAAAAAGATTTAGCGAAAAAAAAAATTTTATTATTTTCTCTATTTAACTATACATACTCATAAAATGTATGTATATTAATTCAAATAGCAATATGTACAGGGCAGTACTATTATATCAGGTATAAGACCATATCACAGAATTGTTCTTTCGAAATAAATTAATGATTTATTTGAATTTTCTGTATTCAAAATTGAATATTTGAATTGATTGTTCTCAGACATACGAGTATACAACTAGAATTTTTATGTTTGTTTTTTTGAATATGATTATTAGAAATTTTGTGAAAAAACATTTTTGCAGGGGCCCAAAGTGAATTAATTTGACTCTGCATAAATATACATAATACAATCATTTATTACATTTATATATTCTTTTGTACACACATATTTTAAGCACAAAAGAAGAATAAAAAAAAAAAAACGGAAATTGTATGTACATAAATAAATAATGTAATTCAAAAATATTACAATGTTCCTTGTTGTATTATGAATTTTATAGAACAATTAACAATTGAATATAAACAATTAAAATTAAATGTGTACATATACATATCCACGTATGTATAAACATAAATAAAATTAATTAATATATGAAATATTTATGTCCTTATCATAATATTATGTAGGTATATGAGGAAAAAAGTTAATAAATTATTATTAATTACTATATTGATAATTTGATTGATATTAATAATAAATTATTTCAATTGCAGAATTTATTTATTTAAATGAGAAATTATATTAAATTTTATAGATCAGATGAATTAATAGTGAATTCATATTACAATGGGTAATATTATTGCAATTATAAAATTCTTAATATATCAAATTTTAGGTTTTTTTTTAATTTTGACTTTGATTTAATTTTAAGTTCTTTTTAATAAAAACTATTTAATTTTTGCATATTGCTACTGTCATATAAGTAGTGTAAAAATATTATAAATTTAATATTAAAATGTAAATAAGTGCTATTAAATAGCATGAATGTTAATTTTGGTTATAAAATTATTGATTCGTAAATTGAGTGATCGTAAAGTAAGGAACTAAATATAGTTAAAAAACAAATTAAATTAAATAGATATTTTATATTGGAATCATTCCAGCTTTTATAGTTTCTAAAAATATTTTTTTTCCAATCTAAATTTTGCTACTTTAAATAGATATTATTTGATTTCTTTTTTATATTATGTTGTAAATATAAATTTACTTAGTTATACTTGAATTAATGAAAAATTCCTATAATCCTTATTATATAATTACAATATTCATGTAAGATTAAAAATAAAGTTAAAATAAAAACAAAAGGATCCCTTCTTTTCAGTTTTATTGTTTAAAATTTGTATATATAGAATTTTGTAATTTTGCATTAACATTATCCATATGAATTCCTTAAATTTATTTACATAATAACAAAGTTTAATTGGGAAAATTTTGACAATTAAATTTTTATTTTATAGCAATTTGACTTTTTATATTAATTTTATAATTGCGACAATTATTGTATATTTTGTAATGGTTTTCTTTTTACATTAATTTTTATTTTCGTAATTTTAGAAATTTTAATTTTTTGAGAAATAAATAGAATAAAATTCAAATATAAAAATGATAATTTTCACACCTGGTTAATTTTTGCACATTTCATTTTAACAATATTATTATATTTATATTAAATATATTTGTTTGTATATATATAAATAAAGTATGTACAAATTTTTCTACGAATAAATATGTACATGTATGTATATACAGATATACTGCTATTATAAAACCTACTAAATGATTTAAATTAAAAAATTCGTTTTCATTCACACACAAATGAAATATCCCTTTAATATATTTTTGGGTATTTTTAATTTGTTTTCATTTATTTGGTTGGTCCTTTTATATATCTTTAATGATTTGAGTATTTTCAACAAATTTTGTATATATTTTTCATTTTATTTTGTAACTATAAATTTTTCTTTTTATTATTATTATTATTATGTTCATTTTTGTATTTGTTTAATATTTTTGCATGTATACACAACCTAATATAATTAACAAATTTTTTTTACATATGTATATATAGCTGTATCATTGTAATTTTTATAACTATTTTTGTTTGCTTTTCTCTTTCATTTGCATTTTGTTGGTGTATCAATTGAAATAAAAATTATTCAGAACTATATAGGCAATATATTGAAATAATTGCATAGTTCCAGGCGCGCGGTATTTTATTGAGCATTAATTAATGTATAATTCTTTATAATAATAGGTTTTTGTTGAATGTTCTTTTCTTCGTTCTATATTCCATTAACACTAACGTATAATAAACATATAATACACTTATACTAAGATTTTTCTTTTAGTTTTATTAATTTATTTTTAGCACAATTTGAGAAAAAATTAATACATAATTTTTTTTTTTTGTATACTTAAACAAATTTGAATTTTGTTTGAACGCGATTTCGAATCATTATGTTAATCCCACGTTTATTTTTGCTCTTTAATAATAAATTTTTTTTTTTCATATTGAAATTGATATCATCACCAATTTTTAAAAAATTTTCATTTTTAAGATATCAATAAAATTTCATAATTTGATGAAATGAAAAGAAAATTACAAATCCAATTTGGTTTTTCTTTGTACAATTGTATATTTTTTTTTCTAAAAGAAAAAAATTTCTGAGGCGTCTTGCGACATTATACACACGTATATAGGAATTTTTTCTTTATCGTCCTTACATCGCCCGATTGAAATTCAGACTGAAAATTCTAATTTTAATTTCATAGGAATTTGCTCCATAAAATCTGCAAAAGGAGATTTCACGAACAAAAACAAAGAAAAGAAGAACAATTAAACACGAAAGGAAATATAAAATTTACGAAATAAAAGGACGTGCTCTTTTCCCATTTTGTTTTTTTTTGTTATAGAGATTCTCAACTTTCGTGCTGCTAGATGTAAATTAATTTTTTTTTTACTTTTTTTTGCAGAAGAGGAAAATATTATTTTGTATCTATAGTAAGAATTTTGTGATTCTATATCTCAAATTGGATAGGACATGTTGTGGGGAAAATATGATTTTGTGGTGAGTTTCATATACAATATAAGTGATACAGAACAGAAAAGTCTGAAAAATGTTATAAAAGATTTTAAGAGATTAATATAATAAGAGATTTCAGCGTCTGCAAAATTTTTGAAGAGAATAAATTAATTTATAAGGCAAAGGACATAGCTGAATATAAAATTTATTTATATCAACAATATTATGTATTATAACAAAATTTATTTTTATATCCTTAATATGATCCAAAAGTTAAACAAATAATACGGTGTACCTTTATATAAAAAATATTATACTGGAATCTTTTTTAGTGCTGATACACGCACATATACGTAATGAAAATATGTTTTTATGTACACGTACATAAGTATGTATAAAAGTACACGGTATATTATCTTCTTTCAGTAGCCTCTCAATTAAAACAGATAATTTTCTTATAGGATGGTATGTGTGTATGTCGATTTATTGCAGTCGTAAGTTTTACTACTATTGAAAATTTGAAAGAATGTATTACGTTGTTTTTATCTTCAATATGGTACATCAATTATTTGTCGCATTTTCTGACCTTTAAACTTTCTTCTTTTTAATATACATAAATTCATAAAATATTTTTATATTGAACATATAAATTGCGAATATTATTCAGTTTAACTTTGACTCTTATTAAAAAATTTTTTGATATTTGAAATTTGAATAGAGGGAAAACCGAACATAACTGTATTAACTCTAACTAACCTAGGATAACTCTATATTTTTAAAAATAATTTAAAAAAAATAACTTCTACTTTTAACGATAAGATTAACTGTATTGAGAAATACACATCTAAATGGAATGGAAATTCAAAACCGTATCGATTTGATTTACCGTAGACTTGAACTTAAGGAAAATTTATTTTTTTTTGCTACTAAAGCTATGTTAGGAAAAATAATTCTAAAGCATAAAATTCAAGCAAGAAACATGGAAATATAATAAAATTGGAAAAAATGAAATTTTCGACTTGATTATTTCAAGGCCCGGTACTTCTCTGTTATTAGCTTTGTGCAAATTTTTTGTATTTTGAAAACTAGTTAGTTTTATTAATTTTTCCCTTTTTTTTGATTCTTGTAAAATAAATGGTCTGATTTTTTAATTTAAAAAATTGCGAAAAAATTTCGGTGAACCTTATATCAATGAGCCCGCAATCTATATGTTCAAAACTTTTAAATAAGCAGCCTTAAATTTTCCGTAAATTTTATCGGCTTGAGCACTTTTTAATTAAGTTATATATGTACTTACCTTGTTGATAAAATGATTTAATTACAAAAGTTCATCTATGCATAAAAATTCTTTCAAACTTACCTATAAAAGTAAAAAATAAAAAAAAATTAATATTAATGAACGACCCCAAAATAGAATAAAATTATTAATCTGAGTTTCATATAAGATAAGATTATACATATTATGATTTACAAAATGTTCGAAGTGGTAAAAAAAAACAAATATAAGTGAAAAATAAAAGGGCTTTACTATTTCAAGTGGAAAATTTGTACTTTAAATTTTTACTTTCGATTTTCTTTCATTTTAACAGAAACTTTAAAAGTTTTACACAATATTTCTGCGCACATACTCTTATATAACAATAAATAAGATAAAATATATATATATATACATATATGCACATATATGAGGAAAACTATCATATTTTGCTTTATTAGGGTAACAAATCACTGTAATTTATTAATTTCTCTTTTAAGAGTTTTCTCTGATCCAATTTTTCAAAATGAAGTATTCATTCCCCTTAACGTGAGATTTTGTGAGATAAAACATGTTGCTGAATTAAAAAAATTTCTACAGACTATTTCCAGATACTTGATTTTTGATTAAAATTCTCAACATGGAACATGTAGGACATCTTACGGTAATTTTTTGAAACTAGAAGATGAATTTTGCAAAATTGAATGTTCCATCCTTTTATACTCTTAGTCTTAAATGTTATATAGAAACGAACATATTATTTATTATAACACTACTATGTATACATAATATATCTACGTATACATATTTTTTTGCATGTACATATACATATGTACATACGTAGGTATCTATTTACATATATTTTTGTGTATATAAACTGTGTAAATAAAAATAATAATTTTATTGTTGACAAAAGGTTAGCAACATGCGCACTTTAATTATTTTTGTATAATTTAGTAATGATTAAGTATGAGAAGAAATAAATAAAATAAACGGTGGGCCTTTTAAAAGAAGAATCTATATTAAAAAAAAAATAAATGTTTGGATCTCGGTAAAAACTATACCAGATTCTATAACATACTGCAATCAAGGGTAGACGAAGTATAGAGTGATAATAATTAGACTGATGTTGCTTTAATTGCGGTTCTTAAAAAATCTATTTTAATCATCATGTAGATCATGGCAACAACAATGTTTCTAACATAAATAATGGTAAAATATATTTAATTTTATATCACGCACATTATCTTAGAACATTTTGTTCTAATAAGGAAATTATATTTAATGCAATTTATTTGATTTTTTTAAACCTTTTAAAAAGTTATTTAGGCTCGAATTTTGATTGCATTCCAAGAGCTTCCGTCAAGAAATTTTACAAGAAATTTGACAAATTTTACACTCATTGTACTATTGAAACTCTAGAATATTAGCAAAACTACCCTTTAAAAAAAATTATTACAATTTTATTACTTATATTAGTCAGTTTCTTTTTTAAACGATCCTGTATTTTCGAAATTTCGGCAAAATTTTTCGAAGTTCCAATATATGGCTATACGGAATCTTTTATTATATTTTGTTAAAATTTATACGAAGTGTGGCAAATTAATGTGTCAGTTTACAAATTTGTTTAATTCTCCTACAAATTCTTAACTTCTTTATATTTTCATATAGACCCCCTTTTAAAATTTATGCTTTGCAAACATTTAAGGAACTGAATCCAGAAATGAAAAGTTTTTGTAAGTGATTGCAAAGATTTACCTGTACAAACTGTTGAGCTAAATTAAAACTGATATTGTTATATTTTTATTTTCATAATTTGCACAATAAAAGTTTCAGAATGGACGATTTATAGTTTTTGACTTTTTAAATACTATTACGGTTGCATTATTTTGATGAAGATGGTATCACTTTTTTGAAGAAGAGTTTCACTCATTCACTTCTGAACACAATGAAATTCTAAAAAATTAATTTATATTGAGTTATCTTTATTTATCCTTTATTCAGTTTCGTAACATGACAACGAATTTAAGACATATTTTTATTATCCTGTATGTACCGGAAATGTTTTAGTACTTAAATAATAAGTTGATCTTTTGTCCTAATAATTTAATTTTGCCATTTTTATTTTATGTACATTACATTTTATACGTTTTGTACATAATTTGTATAAAACGAAATTACATACTTTCGTATTATTTAAATTTTTCACACATCCTTAACCCAAAATGTTATTTCAATTTAATAGGATTTCCATTTGTTTAAACTTAGATAAAGGTCGACAGCACAAAATATCAAATCCAATAAGAGTCATACAAAATAAAAAATAAAATTAGATTTACGCACCAAAACATGAAAACTAAAATGTTGAATCCTTATATTACTACTCTTATATTAAGCAAAAAATGAAATGCGATTGTGGTTAAATAAAGGTATAACAGACATATATACTCGTATGTGTGTATATTACAACACTTGGATAATAACAACAATTCAAGGACAAAAGTTATAATTTAAAACTTTTTGTTTTTGTCATAATTTATAAACCAACAACATTAAAGTTGTTTAAAGTTTTAATGACGTTAAGTTTTACAAATAATACAATTTTGTTAAGACTTTTATATTCGGAAAATTTTTTTATTATAATAACAGATTTATTATGAATTTTATAAGGATTGAAATCAGTTCTTTGGCAAGTTGGAAATGAAAATTTATATTGTTATAATCACAACTTTGTGAAAGTAAAATGTATGTTTAACAATTTATTCAATTACTAATAAAAGCAGTTAAGTTTTCTAAGGAATTGAAACATATATCTAAAGATACTTTTTTTTTATAATGACACTGCTCACTTGGGTTATATTACATGTACGAATATATTCCCTTATATATAGGATCTAAGTATTATAAATGTAAAAGTCGGTGTTTATACCCGTATGTATAGGGTACTTTCCTTACCGATTCTAACAGCTGGGAAATAATGATGAGAGAAATAGAAATAAGTGTATGTTTATTCATATGACCATATCTGTCCGTCTGTCCGTCTATCTGTCCCTTCAATCAACAACTCAAAAACTAATTGAGCTAAGCCCCACAAATTCAAAAGTTATTTTGTTATGTATCAGAAATTACCGAAACTATAACAACGCTAGCTGTACAGCTTTTAAGGTAATTTGGTCATATCTTAGAAATTACTTGAGGTACAATGCTGACATATTAACAAATATGCTAATAAGGCCACTATTTTCGGTAAAAGATATTGAGCGTTTATGAAAGTTGTAATATAACTCCCATTGACAATATCTCAGAAATTATAGAAAGTATTCAGCATTAAAATATCACCTAAGCAAACATTTTATTTGGGCTGTTATATTCTAAAAAACTTTGAAATTTCTTGACTCGTGATGAAAGCTACCATACAACTTCAAGAGGTATTTAGTCGTATATTATGGAAACTATTAAAATTGCAGGGCTAAAATTTTGCATTAACACATATTCGTTAAGCCATTATTTACGGCAAAAACCTTTGAGATGGTAGATGCCATAAAAAAAAATAATAAATAAGTATAAATTTTTGAATTAATTTATTATAATATTATATGTGAAAGGGAAAAGTAATAAATCAATTAAGATAAAGCAACAACAATCGTTAGCAATCTTTGATAGCAATATTAAACTTGTATTTGTAACTAAATATACATTTATATTTATTAAGTGTATTTATGTCTATTTATGTATACCAATACGATCTACATACATCTAATTGCTCACATTAAATAATTTAATAACAAAGTTGCAATATGTTATTATTAAGCGAGAGAAAATACTTAGAGGAAAATAATAATTCCCTTTTGCCTTGTGATTTCCACTTATCTTTTACAGAATTTTTTTTAAGGAATTTTCTTTCTTTCTATAAATTATACGAACAATTTCAGTTGAATTTGCAATAATACAGGTTATCAGTTTTTATCAGTTTTGTAATACATAATCCAACATCACCCAAAAATATAAAAAAAAAAAACTATTCCTGTTAAAACTATTATGCACTCGCGTTTGAAATGAGAAAATTACTTTGTAGTTTTCCATAATTTTTCAACATTATCACTTTAATGTTACAGGAGAGGTAAATTAAATTTAGAATACAAATACAATTCACCGAAAGGATTACTTCTCTAGTACAAAATATTTTCGTAGCTCTAATAATCTTCCAAATTATATTAATTACACAAAATTTTGCAACATTTTGCAAAATTTTGTAAGTGCGTTGACCTTGATTCTCAATGCCAATTCACAAAAAACTATATAACAAATTTCGACTGTTGAATTATCACTTGAAATTCCATACTTTGTAATATCTTACACTTTCGAATATACCAGTAATTCCCAAAATGGTCTATGTAGACTCCCAGGGGTCCATGAAGATCTGCCAGAGGTCTACGAAGGTGAAAAAAATTTGAGCTCTATCAAATAATAAAGTTGGGTCAAACTAATAGTTTGTATTGTAGCACTTTTCCCTTCAACAAGTGAAAATTCTGTTTTTAAATACAGTATATGTATACCTATCACACTATTAAAATTATTTTCATTCATATACAAAACTATTTCTAG